AATTCTTCTTTTTAGAATTTTTGTGGATTCACACGACCGTCACCACTACTTTCAACATATGCTGTGTTTCAATCGACCGATTTATTGCCATTCGGTTTCCTTTTCGTTATCAGGACATTGTGACCAAGAAAAGATGTTACACGGTGATCATTTTGGTGTGGTTATTTTCACTGGGTCTTCCTTTCTCGATGTTGTCAGTACATGGCGAGCAAAGCATTAATGTCTCAGTGCTGTGGATTTCTGTGGCATTTATAACATTTGCTTTTCCAATACTTGTAGTCTTGTGTTCCTATATTTTTATTTTCAAATCGGCAAAAAAACAATTTAAAAGAACATTGGCAGGAGAAAATTCTCCAATATTCAAAAACGATTTCAGGGTTCGCTTTATGAAAAATTTTAAAGCTTTAAAAACAATTGGTTTCTTTTTAGGTGCTTGTATTATCTCATGGATGCCCAGTTTTGTTGTTCTGTCTGTTGATTGTTACTATACCGTGATAAATGACTGGGATAAAACTGATATATTATATTATATTGTGTGGCCCTGGGTTGAGGCAATCGCTTTTACCTCATCAGCAATCAATCCATTCATATATTACTTTCGAAATAAAGATTTCCGTCGAGCATTTCGCCGTACCTCGGAGTTTTGCAGGTTACCCTGTGGACGCAGTAAGGAAAACACAAGAACAACCGGGCTGAGGTCAACTGGAAACCCAATGGCACGAAAAGATTTGCGGAGACCTGGTAATGTAGTGACGAGAGAGACAGAACTCTGAGGACAACTGCAAGGAAACAGGAACGTGTGCCTGCTATTGAAAAATGATGCTTAAACGGACTGAAACTCCAGTTTAAACATGTTTTCACAATACTAGTAATATGGAATCTGATAAAAAAAATTATTTGCCACAATGGTTTAGCCTGGCTTTCTCTAAGTTGGTAATTCGCAGTATGTCTTCACGTTCCTTAAATTTCACTTGTTATCTACTCGTTTCATATCTAGCCCGCTTCAAGTAGATTTTGTTAAAAAGAATGCAGAGCAAGTTTTTCCTTCTCCAATTTGACATGTGTAACTGAAATATCCTGTAAATCATTACGTAGTGATCACACTTGGAAAGCCGGATCAGATCAGTTCAAGCGCTCATTCAATAGTACTTTCAAAAAAGTTTGCAGAATCCACATATTATTTCAAAGGAGCATCTAAAAAAATATATTAACAGAGGTTGCAGTTTCATGGGAATAAATTTAAAGGGAAATCCCTATCCCCTTTTAGAATTATTCCTTTCACACAAAGCGTGTAACACCGATGCAAGATGCTTTCTCCTTGGAAAGAATGAGCAGTTTTACGTATATCTTTCAATCATTGTGGCTCACCTATTTTATTGCATATATTAATTACATAGTGTTCGCGTTTGTGATGATATTGAGTTTCTCATTAGTGTGGCCTGTACCATTGACTCGTCCCCAGTCTCTGTGGGTCGATAAACTCAATATGGCGGACGAGCGAATAGAGTCACAAAATATTATTGGAAGAAGGAGATACTGTCTAATAGGCCCACTTTAATTCCCTGTCGCGAGAGGAGTGCTCTTTGAAGCAACGTAAAGGTGCAGTACACAGATTATACCATCTTTTTTTCATATCTTCTTCGCTATTTGGCATCTTTTGGATTAGATTTTCCTATATTCTATGTGATTTCCTTGCCATAGGGGTCTACTAAAATTTTACAGTGGAAGAATCTTTATATAGCTCAGATTTTTTTTTCCTTCAGATTTTTTTCTTACATCATGTGCGGCCGCCATTTTGAAATAGTTCCCGAGGGAGTATGGGAAAATACATGACGCTTTCTGATTGTTGAATTGCAGGCTCAGTCGGATGCACCTCGTGAGTCCACAACATTTTGACCACTGTAGTGAGAATATCCTTGTCGATAAGAGTATAGACCACGCTAAGCCACTTTCTCCCACAATTTATCGAGAAAGTGCACACACGCTGTGACAACGCTGCTCTGTCTGACTGATTGCAGTAAAAGATTTCACAAGCATTCACAATGTCACACGAAGAGATTTGTTGTGGGACTTGTCGCCAAGACAAGTCGTAACGACCTTATTTAATATGAAGATAATTTGGTTTTATCGACTGAGCTGATAATGTAAATTAGCCACTGTAAAGAGTTTCTAAACTGTCATTTCGAGCGGTAGCCCTTCGTAAGATTCATCCCATTCGCCTTGACGAAGGGCAGACGCTCGAAATGTTAGCTTAAAAACTCTTCACAGTGGAAGATCTATATTAACAACTTAGGTAATAAACCAATTTATCTTGTTACCTTTCCCCACGGACGGAGCACCTCAGTTTCGTTAAAAATTTACCCCTTTCATTCTAATTCAATATTGCCTAGTGCGCCCCAACCTTATTAATTATTTTTTCTCTTTCACCACAGTCTCGTTGCCTTCGCCGTATTTCTTTGTATAATTTCACTTTTATCTGGGATAGAGACTTAAGCGCTTTATTCTAGCTCTCTCAGTTTTGAAGATTCACTCTATCTAACCTTTGCCGTAGAAGAGCGTTCTTCATACATCCTCCCTAATGCTAACCAAAAACTAATGCTTTGTGACAAGCATTTCACGGGAGAAAAATTAGACGTCATGAAAGACTTGTCTGATATGATGGAAAAGAGTTATTTTGATCATATTTTATTTACATTTACTAAAAAACAGAGTTATGTAAAATAAGCTTAGAAATTATCGCTACCGCTTGATCATCAATTGTTTATGAGGGGCGCCAGGTTTAAGATAAAAAGACAGTCCTTTTCGGTTGAATTGTCGTCAGAGTTGTGTCTCATAAGTTGCTAAGTTACCATGAGTACCATTCTTTCGCTCAATCTGATTTCGCTCTTGTTGTTTTCTAAGGTCTGGTGCATTTTGTTTCGACTTGTGAAGACAGGGAAGCGAATGGAAGGTGCGGCGAAAGGTTCGGCGAAGTTCGCCATTTCTGAAGTAATATATCAACGGGTTGATCGCTGATGAAGTAAAAGTAATTGCCTCAACCCAAGGCCTTATTCTATTATACCTCCGTTTTTCTTTCATATTACAAGATTTAAGCAATAGCACAACTAAAAATGGCATCCATGTGTCGCAAGCACCTAAAACAAAACCGACTGTTTTGCGGATGGCTTTTAAATTTTGCATAGCACGAACTCTACTGTTTTCGCCAGGGTCAAGAGGTTTTTTACCTGCCAAAATGCTTCTGAATTGGTTTCTTGCTAATTTTAAGATGAATGTATAGCAAAAGGAGACCACTAATAACGGAACCACTGACGCTGTACATGCAAAAGACATAACTTGAAGTTCTCTTCGATACTTTCCTGATTGAAAGAACACTATTAAGGAAGGAAGACTCAATGAGATAAACCACACTAAAATTATGACTGCAAAGCATCTCATCTTGGTTAAAATGTCTTAATACGTATTTTCACCACAAAATGCAAATAACGATAAAAACTATAGGTTAACTAATTACCAAAATATAAAGTATGGTTAAGTATAATAAAGTATGTAACAATGTGTTTAAAGATAATATCAAATATGTGAAGATAAGTAATTACTATAAGAATTTTTAGTCTGTAATTTAATGCGTGTTACACGTAATGCGCGAGTGAAGTGGACTCAAGCAGCGAGGTCCGCGGCATTTTAAACACTTTAAAAATAGAAATAATTACGTTTTCAAGCCTAAATGAACGTAATGGGTTACTGGCCGACCTATGAAGTGGAATTAAATTCTCACTGTCCATGCCCATTAGGCCTATCAAAGAACACATTAGAATGGCTTGGTCGTCTTTAAACGAGGAAGAAATATTTAGATCATAAGGGAGATGTTAGTGTGTTAATTTTCTGGTCCACCAAGCCGTTGAAAATCCAATTAGCACGATTCTCGGGATGAGCTCTGACGAGGAAAAAGATGGAAAAGAGAGGTAGTAAGGAAAGACGTATACCGCCGACGGTGAACAAAAAATCGACTTCCGATCCTGCTATCTTTTTTCACTTTCTTGTGCAATGAGACGTAACCAATTACACAAGCCATAAAAGAAGTGAATCTACCTTTACCCGTCGTGCGCCAAGCTCACCAAAAGAGTGTTATAGCATGACGTCATAACAACCATGTTGGTAAATTGAAACAATGGATTGGTGGCAATTTCGGTGTACAATATCAGTCTTGCGGGATTAGAACTATTTTTTCTTCTAAAAACTGTTTGCTCTAACATTTTGTATAGTTGCTGCTTACCTGATGAGAGATATATTTTTTAACCCATTAACTGCGGTGGTTTTCAAGGATTTCCAGCCCCAAGAAAAGCTGTAACAGCACATGTCTACAATTACAGTTGTGCGATGCATGTTTACGTTTGTTTCACAGGGCCGAGTCATTGGTCTAGACTTATTTCATTAAAAAAAAACGGAATGTCTTTTCCGACTTCCGAAAGAGTTTACCATTAAATCTACAAGAGACTGAGAGCTGAGTTTCTTATGACCCAGAAGAATACTTACTCTTGAAAACAAATAAAGACATTAAAATCACGCTTCATGTTGGTAGTCATCCATCATTCTAGACACAAATACGTTTTGTGTTGTTAGATCAGACTACAATATTTAGCATCAAATTCGCCCGCTGCCTCGGTAGGAATCAATGCGGTCACTTTTGTGATTAGTACGAAACTCCATTCAACCGTTAACCAGGAGCTGTTAGCGATATGAGTATTCAAATTGAGAGTTTCCTCATAGACATCCTGTTTCAAGTTAATAAAAACACCTGCATGTCAAGGGAAGCTATTCTGTTAATTTTGGTTCTAAATTTTCCACAAAATCACTTGAATCTTAGCGATGACGCTTTTCATCGATAATGACAGAAAGATTAAGACACTGATAAAGATTTCGAAACATTTTGCAGGAAAGAGTTCTTGTTGTTGTTTATTTTATTTTTGTTTTCAACTCACCGTTTCGGGAACTTTTAAAGATCAATAGGACGCGCCTGTAAATAAAAAAAAGGATATTGCACTACAGGAATATGATAATTCATCTAAACATCTTTAAGAAAGATCTGTTTGGTTTGCAGAGAGGACAGGAAAAATTCAAGCATTTCTGTAGCTTAATTTCTCTCTTCTGCTGTCGCTGTCATTTTACCATGAATGAAAGCGACCCAAACTTTCAGCTTAGCAGTGCAGCGTCCATCGTTCTATCACTGTGGCTCTCCTTGTCTGGTTTTGCAGCAGTAACTGGAAATGCAGTTGTGTTGTGGCTATTCTACAAAAAGGAGTCTCTACGAACAATTTCCAACCATTTCTTGGCCTCTTTATCTGTGGCTGACCTCTTTGTTGGGCTGGTGATAGTCCCTGCGTGGGTCATTTTCACATGGTGGTTAACATTTCACAGTGCCGTTAACTTCCTTTTAGAATTTTTGTGGATTCACACGACCGTCACCACTACTTTCAACATATGCTGTGTTTCAGTCGACCGATTTATTGCCATTCGGTTTCCTTTTCGTTATCAGGACATTGTGACCAAGAAAAGATGTTACACGGTGATTATTTTGGTGTGGTTATTTTCACTGGGTCTTCCTTTCTCGATGTTGTCAGTACATGGCGAGCAAAGTAATGATGTCTCAGTGCTGTGGATTTCTGTGGCATTTATAACATTTGCTTTTCCAATACTTGTAGTCTCATGTTCCTATATTTTTATTTTTAAATCGGCAAAAAAACAATTTCAAAGAATATCAGCAGGAGAAAATCCCACAATATCCAACGACAATTCCAGA